GTGTTGTATTTTTGATCTGATTTCCATATCCATGGCCACCTGAGGGAGGTCAGCCTACTCGGGCCAACTTCCTCACAGGGAGAGGGACTAAGGGTGACAGGGACACAAACCCAAGCACAAACCATCTTCCATCCTTTCTAACACCCATGCCACTCATTATCTTCACTGGCACCACCAAGATTCTCACATGGATAGGGAAATTATTTGCCACAAAGAGACAGAAAGCAATAAAATAATTTTTCCTTTAACTTTTTTTTTCCTTTCCCCCCCCTCCTTTTGCTTCAAAGCCTGCAACTCTCTGCTGTGCCCTAGGGTTAATTAACATGAGCCAAACAGTGAATGATCAGAGAGAATGGGAAATCTCCAAAGGTTAAGTGGCACATGGGAAACGTGTTGTCAAAAGAAGAAAAGGAGGAAAGCTGTTTTTTTTCCTGCACGTTCAAAATCAAATGAAAGAAGAGTGGTGCAGAAGGAGGAAATTTGTAGACACCTTTCCAAAACTTTGTATTTCCCCTGTCAGAGGAGGCAGAGCGTTAGTGTCTGGCTTCAAACAATATCTGTAATTCCATGACATTTTGATGAACAAAAGAATTCTACGGTTTTCTCTAACTTGCTCATCCTTCAACAGACATACTCCCCCTTTTTATATCGTTATAAATCACTTTAGAGAAGTACACACAACACAATTCCATAATGTGATAAGCAGAAGCCTGAGGAGAAAAAAAAACACATCCATCACAGAGTTAATCACTGCTTTTAAAGACCTGCTCGTTGAAATTGTGTCTCCTCTTGGTTTATCCCTGTAGGGGAAAAAAAGAAAATGACTTCATGATCCACAGATATCCTAGATGGCAAGCGTTGCAGATGAAACACTATGATTTCTCTCTGTAATAATTAACATGGGCTCTTCTTCTCTCCCAGTGGCTTGTCACTGACATTTGGTTCATGCTTGAGTGTCTGCCTGGCTGATTTCCATCTCTTGCATGAAGGTGAGGCTGTGTTTGTGTGTGCATATGTGTGTGTGTGTGTGTGTGTGTGTGTGTGTGTGTGTGTGCATAGGATCCAGTGGCCAGTTCAACACTTGCATGAGGGGGGGTGTGTGTGTGTGTGTGTATATGTGTGTGTGTGTGTGTGTGTGTGTGTGTGTGTGTGCATAGGATCCAGTGGCCAGTTCAACAATGACATTGGTGACAAGGCTTGCCTTCAATAGATGGGATTAAGCATCATGACAATATGGATTAGAGGCCCACTCAGTCTATCCCAAACCACCAACAGGTTAGAGGCTGAAAGCCAAACACTGAAACACAAAGCCTTGTCAGTGTGTTCTTGTAAAATTGTGTTATGTAAAGGGTCATAGCTCACTGACATCTGAATACATATTTTGACAATTCCCAAATTTATCATCTATACATGCTGTCGGCAGTGACACACGATACTGATTTATACCAGGCTCCAAGGATGAAAACTCCTCAGAATGATCACCACTGCCACGACAAGCCTTATTTTACATTATTACATTATGTATGCAGGAGTTGAGTATGGATAATGGATGAATCTAAAGCAAAGCTGTTTAATTATCCTCCATCATTCTGCCTCACCTAGCTGCGGAGCACACATCTTATTAGCCATGGTGTAAATAAACATTAATATGCCACCCTGATAGAGACTGTCCTCCCCCTTTTGCAGTTCTGGGTATATTATCATCATTGCTGTAAAATACACACACCTAAACTGATCCAGTGGCATGTGCAAACAAGAGAGGAGCTGCTGAAGCTGGGGCCAGACCATTACAACCACTTCACAGAAAATTATCATTAGTGCATCTGGCTGGAGGCCACACAGCCCCAACAAAAGATTAATCTGTACATGCACAGTGTGCATACATGCATCTGGCATGATACAAAGTACAGTCTCTGTGCTTCAACAATCAGTGTGAGAAAACTAGTGGATCACAACAATCCTAGCAAGCATAGTTCTCTGTCAGGAAACTCATTTGCATGTTTTGCATGGCAGAGCGGTGACTTGCAGAACAGGTATGGTGGGTAAATGCCATCTCTGTGGGCCAAGTGAAGGAGGCGAGACAGTGAATCTAGATAGAAAGCATGTAGGTTAACCGGCCACAAGGCATTCTCATCCCTTAAGCACATGGCAATAGAGAAGGAGCTTCAAGCAAAGAGAAAACTCAGCATCCAGTCCAACCCTGAGCATCAAATACTGCTGAGCTGATAAACTACATAAAAGTCTGCCTTTGTCTCCAGGCATGGCTTTTAACAAACTAGATTGTGATTAGTATCAGACATGACATAATATGCAACTGATAAAGCATAATCTTTTTTATGCAAACCACATCTTATGTGTAAATAATGTATTAAACAGGCTGAAATGAAGGTTCATACTGTGCTTCAGGTATAACCTTGTTGAGAAAATTGTTGAGAAACACCTCAAGAGAAAAGAAGCAGAACTCTTCAAAGACAAATTTTGTTGCATGTACACAAAGCTCTTTTATAAACTTCTCAATATGTCTTTTTTTTTTTTGTCTGCAGATGGACTGACTGCCGCCAGAACCCAGGAGGAGACAGGCCTTATTCTGCTCTCTTATGTTGGTTCAATCACCAGTCTGCTGTACAAAGGAGGCAGCCTGATGGCATGACGAGTGCACAGCGCTCATCTGCCTGTGCTGTTGTCTCAGTTTGAACCTCATAAAAGGAAGCGGGCCTGACGCTGCCAGAGGCAGAGGATCCGGCTCTGCGGTCTGAGCAGAGAAACATCAGCAGAGCGCCATTCTTTAGAAGGAGATGTCCTTCAGTGTAGTGCCAACTCCCCCCCTGGGAAGCAGCATAAGGCAGTTATTTACCATATATACAGAATTATTTTGCCAGGCCCTTAATGAGCCAGGATATTCAACATTACAGAAACAAAGGTCACACTGTCAATGAAGAAGCTATAGTTTTGCTGAATTAAAAAAATGATAATTAGGCAAATGTGAATCAAACTCTGGCTCTCTTGACTCTGTAGATGTATTAAAGGAGCAGGTCTTCTAGCTTAGCCTGTAGGAGTTCTCATTTAGAATATGCCTTCGACCTACAGAGCTGCAGGAAAACACACACACACACACACACACAGATACTTACAACTGAAAGTAGACCTTGGTGACATACTACTGTATAATTAAACACCCTTTGTTGCTTTGCACAAAATAATTACACCAGGTTCACGTCAAGTAGAAGAAAATACAAAGCTGTTGGCCCTCTAAGTTTTGAGCTCAGTTCATTGTAATGAATTAATCAAAGACACAAACTAATACCTTCCCAATGTGCAGTTTGGTTATGTCTGGCGGGCCGGCAGCAGCTATACAGCTGTACTGTGAAACTTTAATGCTGCCAGGTGCCTGTGGCACCGAGCTTCGTCTCTGAGGTGAAGGAGGGGGGATGTTTCCACATGTTCGATCTGGGACAAGAATTGGTAAAAAGAACAGGAACTATCTGACCACTAAAGCCTTCCAGACACTAGGGATTGGTCTTAGATTATTATAAAAATAAACTCCTACAGGTTTTTCTAATCATACAGTCATTGAAAAGCTGCTGTCAAATTCAAACATTTTTAGGGGATTATATGGCATTGTTCTTCACTTTTAAGGCTTTTGAGCACCTGTCATCTGGGTCTAGTTGTTATGTTAATGTGAGGTATTCCATCTCGTTCCCAGCATGCTCTGTGTTTGACATTCATGGGGTTAAAGTCCTCTGAATGATGAAGTGCCAGTGTTTGGGACAGTAAATTGCATCGTTTCAATTGAGAAGAGAGTTCCCCTTGGGTTTGCTGCTGGTCCCTATGGGCTGGCCTTGAACAGAACAGCATGTTGTACATCCATATAAAAAAGGGGAAAATATGGTGGTACCTTTCTCTTTATGATGCAGAGATTAATCTGTCACCACATTCACACATAAATCTCACTCCAGGCTTTGCAAAATACTGTTTTACCTTACTTTACACTATATTTTGTCTTTTTATTACCTATAAACATAAACCATCACAAAGGGCTAATGTTCTCATCAATATTATTACAAAATGATCATAAATCCAATGCCTTGTTAAAATTTGAAGCTATTTCTCTCCTCAGCTACTGAACCAGGGAAAACATTAGACAGAAGCATTATTTTATGACAATTTCTTTCCCAGTAATAAATGACCTTCTTTCAGATTTGAGCTAAAGTGCACCATTTTATTTTAATTAGATTAATAATTTTGCGCTTTCCTTCACATCCTTTTCCTCACTGCTGTGTTCAGCAGTACTGATCATGCCTTTTGGGGCCCTTTTTTTAATACTTTAGTGGAGATGCCTTGACAACACTGTGGTAGTTGCTTCATCCTGAGAGACCACAAACTAAACAGCAGAAACACGCTTGTTTAGTGCTATGCTAATCAGCTTTGCCGGAGGTAAAATTAACATTTTTAATTAAAATATTAGCACCAAACAAACACAGAAAAACACACTAATGATTAAATCATCTTGATGGAAACCACATAGTGGAAAATGAAGATCATTTCTCATAATTCTTTGTATGAAAACATAATGTATGGATCATACTCTGAGATTTATGGCTTTATGAAAACAAAGTTTTCAAACTGTGCAAGTTTTGAATGTGAACAATTTTAGCTACTACTTTTAAATTTCACAAGCTGAAAAAAGTACTATTTTTTTTATCTTTTGTGCCAAAAAATATGCATATCTGTTTTCATTTATTATCACTTAAGTTACTTCCAGTAAGGTGAAAAAAGGGATAATGATGGAATGCAAAAACACAATTAGAAATAAAACATTTCACTATAATTAGAAATGTAAAGTCTGTCTTTGTCAGATATGAGATATTACTGTATATAGGTCTGAGACAGAGGAGCTGGAGCTTTCTGCAGCCGTGCTACTACAGCACCCTCTGGTGGTCAAATACGTGAACATCTAATAAGAGCAAAAAGCGGGATAGAGGGAAAGTAAGGAACACTACTCTAACAGAGCAATTTTATTGGCCATTTTGGGTATAACAAAAGTAAGCTGTAATAAAGATTCTTCATGTATGAAAAAGCAACAGCTATCTCCTAAAACACTGCATTCAAATGTTAGGATATGTTTTTTCTGGAGTCTGATCCCATTGAGATATATTCATAAGCCCACATTTCCAGTGCTGCAAAGCGAGGCCCTTTTGATACGATCATTCATTTTACTCTTCTGGTCCACACAGGCTGAGCAGAGCCTTCTGGTAGTCTCCCTTGGTGTGCTAAACAGGTCAGAAAGACTGCATAACAGAACAAGCCTGTAAATCACTAACTGGCCAGGGGAAGGTTGTATAATACACTTACCATAATAGTCTTTTGCAGAGACTGGCCAAAGGTGGCTTTGTATTCAGAGCAAATCTTCTTCAGGTCCACCTCGCAGCGTGACACAATAATTCTGGTCACCACCTTCTCCTTGGCTCCTTTACTCTGAGCAGACAAGCACAAGTCAGCACTTATTAAAGTTGCACATGCTCTATACTTAACTACAGCTGCTGATGCAACACTGTTGTAAGATAACTTTTGCCAACTTTGGATTCTATGATCCTGCAGCAAAATTGCACTTTCACAGGCAGATGTGCTTCTTTCATCTGTTATTAAAAAAAAAAAAAAAAAAAAAAAGATCACTGTAGCTACCTTCATGGCTTCATGCAGTTGTTTGGCAAAGAACAGCTGTTTGTTTTCGAAGCACTGAACTGGAACAAAAGAAAGAAAATCTAATTATAAAATACATTTTGTATTATGCTATCATACATTTTGTAATAACATGAAGAAGTGTACCTAGCACCAGGAAGGACCTTTGCAAGTCTCCTTTGACCTCCTTCACAATACTCTCCTGCATGTCGTAAGGGCTATAGCTCTTGTACCTCTGAAACACTAACAAGCAGAGAAAAAGGTAAACATCAGTTGGTGTGCACAGTTTATTTAGGAGAGTCAAAAATCATGCCACATGAAAACAAGGAGCAGTACCTTTTTGCAGGTGGGGTACACTTCTCTCAGACATGATGGAGATCCAGGTGGTCACATCAGTCCCTTTGATCTTTACTCCGGCATCGTAGAGCGCCTGAGTCGAACCAAGAAAATACCAATGACCACCGCCATACTTTACACTTTGCTGTACAGTGTTAGTGTTACTCCTTTAAAATATCAGTGCCAAAATTCAGTACTATTATCTCTGTCCAGAATAAAAATGACTGACTGTAGAAATTATCATCTGCACCAAGTTATACCAAAATTATCCAGGGTTTGCACACTGTAAAGTATGACATTGGCCAAAGTTAGACTAATTTAGTAATGATTTTATTAAATTAAATTACATTTAAACAACTTCTATATCACACACCAAATGAATATCGATGGTAGGGCTGATCTTAGGACAGTGCATTACTGAGAGGTGCACATCAATCAACCATGGCGTTATATTTGTCAGTTCTTTGGGATTGACCCTGAGGTGTACAGTGCCTTGCGAAAGTATTCGGCCCCCTTGAACTTTGCGACCTTTTGCCACATTTCAGGCTTCAAACATAAAGATATAAAACTGTAATTTTTTGTGAAGAATCAACAACAAGTGGGACACAATCATGAAGTGGAACGAAATTTATTGGATATGTCAAACTTTTTTAACAAATAAAAAACTGAAAAATTGGGCGTGCAAAATTATTCAGCCCCCTTAAGTTAATACTTTGTAGCGCCACCTTTTGCTGCGATTACAGCTGTAAGTCACTTGGGGTATGTCTCTATCAGTTTTGCACATCGAGAGACGGAAATTTTTGCCCATTCCTCCTTGCAAAACAGCTCGAGCTCAGTGAGGTTGGATAGAGAGCGTTTGTGAACAGCAGTTTTCAGTTCTTTCCACAGATTCTCGATTGGATTCAGGTCTGGACTTTGACTTGGCCATTCTAACACCTGGATATGTTTATTTGTGAACCATTCCATTGTAGATTTGGCTTTATGTTTTGGATCATTGTCTTGTTGGAAGACAAATCTCCGTCCCAGTCTCAGGTCTTTTGCAGACTCCATCAGGTTTCCTTCCAGAATGGTCCTGTATTTGGCTCCATCCATCTTCCCATCAATTTTAACCATCTTCCCTGTCCCTGCTGAAGAAAAGCAGGCCCAAACCATGATGCTGCCACCACCATGTTTGACAGTGGGGATGGTGTGTTCAGGGTGATGAGCTGTGTTGCTTTTACGCCAAACATAACATTTTGCATTGTTGCCAAAAAGTTCGATTTTGGTTTCATCTGACCAGAGCACCTTCTTCCACATGTTTGGTGTGTCTCCCAGGTGGCTTGTGGCAAACTTTAAACAACACTTTTTATGGATATCTTTAAGAAATGGCTTTCTTCTTGCCACTCTTCCATAAAGGCCAGATTTGTGCAGTATACGACTGATTGTTGTCCTATGGACAGAGCCAATCGAGAATCTGTGGAAAGAACTGAAAACTGCTGTTCACAAATGCTCTCCATCCAACCTCACTGAGCTCGAGCTGTTTTGCAAGGAGGCATGGGCAAAAATTTCAGTCTCTCGATGTGCAAAACTGATAGAGACATACCCCAAGCGATTTACAGCTGTAATCGCAGCAAAAGGTGGCGCTACAACGTATTAACTTAAGGGGGTTGAATAATTTTGCACGCCCAATTTTTCAGTTTTTTATTTGTTAAAAAAGTTTGAAATATCCAATAAATTTCGTTCCACTTCATGATTGTGTCCCACTTGTTGTTGATTCTTCACAAAAAATTACAGTTTTATATCTTTATGTTTGAAGCCTGAAATGTGGCAAAAGGTCGCAAAGTTCAAGGGGGCCGAATACTTTCGCAAGGCACTGTATTTATAGTAATAATGTTAGGCAGGTATTCTCTTAAACCAAAACAATGTAACATATTCACAGTGGGAGAACTTTACATTTCAGACATTCTCAATACTGAATTTGATGTAAAAATGATATTTTTAAATTGATTTGATTTGTCTTCAAAGACAAAGTGGAATGGGGACTGGACTTACTCTGGCGTCGGTATCGATCTTTTCATAGTCTACAATACTGGATGGATCTGCTCTCTTGGTCTGCACAGTAATAAGACATGACTCAGGTTGGTTTTAGTGACATTGTTTTATACAGTATAAATCATAAAGACAGATCTTACCTGCACCAGAGCCAGGAGCAGCTTACAAAAGTTTCCAGAAGTGTCACCTGCAACATCCTTTTCCAGGTCCTTCTTGAACACTGAGGGAAATATTATTTGTATTTTAGATAGTTCTCCCCATATAACCTGGGTAATCACAAAGTTGTATATCTGGTTCAAGGGCATTTAAAACAGAACAAGACTTCTGTTGGACAGAGTGTGCTCAAGTTGAGCAGTGGCCCAACAGTGCACAGTCAACATACAGTATAACAACATATGGGGGCCCAACAGTGCACAGTCAACATACAGTACAGTATAACAACATATGGGTCAAACATGACAAATTCTGATGCATTTCTAGGCCTTTATGTGAATGCCTGGGATGCTTTGGACTTACGCTCCTTGTAGACACTTTTGATCTCCACCAGCTCATCATTGCTGCGTGAGCACAAAATCTCAATCAGCGTTTCTTCATCTGTTCCTAAGCCCTGAAGGTGAGAGGAATCCTCATTACTATTTATACATGACACCTGAAAACATACTGTACACCACATAACCTCACCTCCATCTAAAAACCAAAAGCCTATTTTGTCATTTTTCCAGTAGAGGGCAGTGCAATCCTTCAATCATTGTCCACTGATACACTACGTGTCCTATACCTTGATAGATCCTTTGATCTCTGAGGCATCATACTGGGCTGTGCTCTTCATCAGTCCGAGCATCACTGTTTCCAGAGGGCCAGACAGCGCTCCCTTCAGGGCTGAGATCATGTCCTGAAAATATAAAAACAACTTAGTGTGTCCCACCCCACAGTCAGAACTGTGAAGGATTCGAGATTTTTATGTGCAAGTCTACTGTACCTTCTTCGCCCTCCTTTCATATGCAAAAGCAATCTCTCTCCTTTGGGGGTAGGTCCGCTTAGTTAGGACATCAATGATGGTCTGCTCATCCACTCCTAATGTTCATATGAAAAAGACATACAGTACACTGGATGAGACAAAAGGGATGGAATTCAACCACTAAATATACCAACAAAAATAAATCCTGTTATATGTTATTTGGATTAAACTGGACAAGGACTGCAACACAGGTGACTCTAGATAGCTTAAGAGTGAAAAGATGTGTTGGAAGGAAAATGGGGTTAAAACTGTAGGCAAAACTGATGCATGACAACTGGTACAAGGTTTTTGGGCTAATGCTTATATTGATAATTGGAAGTAAAATTAAAATTCTGCTATATTGCCTTCCTAGTTGTATGATATATACACATTAATACACTTAAAAAAAAAAACTCCTGATAAGCATGATAAAAACCTTTTATTGCACTAGCTACTTAGTGAGTAGAAAATACTATTTAACTCTCATTGTAATAATTTCAGCAACATAGTCTCGCTTAGCACCTTGGGCTAAATGTGAAATGGTGAGGCCTACAAACGCCTTATAGCAGTTTTGGAGAGATATGAACATACATAGTTATAAAGAGCATTTGCTCTAAATAGAAATGTTTACAACAGGCTACATTACAAACTCATTTTTCACATGATGGATATTTCAATGAAATCACATCTCTGTTGTTTCAGCGGTTCAATAATATAATGGTAGTTTCATCACCATCAGGTTTGTGCCGGACACAAGACAAAGTAGAACAATATAGACAAACAGAGGGCCTGTTGGCAAAGTTGGCTTGCTTTAACAAGACATGCTCAGGAGATATCCCCTCCAGAAGAGGATTAGAACAGCTGTAAAACATTTATTTGAGTTCTGACTTTTTTCTCAGAATTCTGACTTTAAAGCTGACTTCAGAGGAAAAATTCTTAACTGAAATAAATGTTTTAAAGCAGCTCTAATCCTCTTCTGTAATCCCCCATGGCATCATTAGTAAAGAGATTCTTCCTTGCAACAAAATGGTGGGCTGTTGGCGAGTTGGTGGGCAGACCGTTGCCACCAGGCCTCAGTCAGAGACCACAACAGAGCTCTGCCATCTCTGAGGCACAGACTTGGAAGCGTTCCCAGCACAGACAAAAGATTTCAAGCCAGGATGCTGACTCACAAACACCAGTTACTTATCCCATAGAGAGAAGTTACACAACTCAGCACCGATTTCTTTCAGCTACATGCACAGTTTATCTTGCCTTTGGTTTTGATAGCATTCTCTATTCTGGTAGCATCTCTGTCGGGGTCAAAGTCCAGAGCAGGTACCACAGTGGGGAACTTCGGGTCACTGGTCTGAGGATTCACAGCAAATAATACAATAATAAACAAACAGTATGCAGGCTATAACATACTGAAAAAAATCCACAATAAACATTAAAACAAGAAGTGTGATGTTACCCCTGCGTGGAGAGCCAGCTGTCCCAGAAACTCTGATACCATTGCCATTTTTAACTTTCCTGGAAAAAAGGCCAAAAACCACCATAATTATGAAATCAAATCTCATTGCATGCCCATCACTGACTTGTCTGAGCTGAACAAAACAATGGGTCATGTTTTTTTTTTTTTCTGAAGATGTAGCCACTTGAGCTACTAAGACAGTGTCCTGAAGCTGGGACAGAGGACAGAGTAAATCATTTCAGGTGTTGCTTTTGGTACCAGTGAGACACAAATCACTCCAGGAAACTTTATCCATCGATAATTAATGCCTTTTGCATTATTTTAGCATGCTGATATTCAGAATGATTTTAGTAAATTATTTGTCCAGTCCAATACACATTCCTAACACCAAGCCAGGGAGACACACCCTGGAAAATTGCTGCTGTACTCCAGCCTAGTACGACTGAGCACATTCCAGGCAAACCAGAGAACAGGTTAAAGAGCACACACTGGAGACCAGGAACTCATTCTTACTTCACCAAAACTCAAGAAAAGGAACATGCCAAAACAAGACAGAATGGAAATGATTACTTTTTTGCAGTCATGACTCATGACCGCAGGTTGAAAAATTCTGTTCAACCACTCTGCAGTGTAAAGTTAATCCCATATAGAAACCCAGTTGTTCTACATTAAAAAGTTTTAGCTACATTGAACTTACCTATAGGCTGTTAAAAGTTGTTAATGCAGAGATTCGTCCTGGCAAAGTGGAACGGGTAGGAAGGTTTAACTTTTCTGAAATACAAAAAGACTTCCCCTTTTCACCTCCCAGCTCAGGCTCCCTCCCCTTTCCTCCCTCCTCTTCCATGCACTCCACCCTGTTCAACTAGAAGCCTCTGCAAGCTCAAGCAAGGAGGCTCAAGGCTCTTAAGCTTTGCTGAAGTTTTCCCACACATAAACTATGCACAATGACTGGAGATCTGTCTTCAGGAGCTTCAGTCAGTCCAACCATTACAAACTTTCTGCACATTACAGACAGTAATGATGAGCCCTTAGACAAAGTTTATTGTTGCTCTGTTTTTACAAAACTAATAAATGACAAAATATACAATTATAAAATAATAGATTCAGTACTGTGCTCATTCACATATACATTTATGGTCCTCACACATTTTCAGTATGATATAACTCATACAGGTCCAGATCCTCTTCTGACTTACCAAAACTATGATAACAGATTTTAAATGGACTTCTGAACTAGCTTTTTGATATACTTTTTACGCTTGGCTGCACGTTTCTTTTTGTTTTTTGTTTTGCCTCTTGTGTTGTTCTTCGACTGCCCACGTCCCTGGTCATTAGATTGTGATGATCCATCTTTTGCTGTCTGGTAGGACAAAGGAAGGCAAAAAGGTTGCAACTGCAAATAAATTCAGGTAGCATCACATATTATGTTTCTTGTTCACAAAATTACAAACATCAGTGAGAAATGCTGATAATCCAAACACCCGGTTTTAAACTTGTTGTCCCCCCTTTGCTCTTTGAAAAGTTAAAAGATGTGATAATGTCTTCACTATGTGGAATTTTTGGCATCTGATGAATGTCTCAGAATCTACAACAATAAACCACACTGAGCTGTTATAAGCACCAGCCCTAGTGCTGCTGATTTTGGTATGCCCTCTGCTGTGCCTGTTAGTTCTGGGCTGGCGCAAGCCAGGTATGCATTGGTATGCAGGTCCAGCCGGTCTGATGAGGACACGGCCAAGGGCTCCGCACTCAGTGCAGTGTAGTGGGAGACGGCATTTATTTATCTTGGATTGTGTCTCCATTGTTATTTTAGTTTTTCAAAATGCCACCTGTCAACACATAAACTATGGTTACATAAATTAAGCAGCACACACCTGTAGGAAGTGCTTGGGTGGGAAGGTGCAAGGGACACGCCTGTGCTCCTGGTGGAAGGGTAGGACCACAGCTGGATCCACAGGTATCCAGGGTACAGGGCCAAAGGCTGGGGGCTGTGGGACAGAGCTGTGGACCTGATGCAGGTTGTACGCTGCTCGACTCACTTTTCCAGTAGCTGCTTTTAATAAGGTCACAAATGGTTCCCCTGCTTTGTGTGCAATCAGGTACTGTCCTTCTTCTAACCTACAAAACCAAATAAAGTCACTGAGGGCGTGCTAAAGTCAAAATCTCACACAATGAAACATGTGGCAGCATTTCTTGTTTCCTGCCAAATGACTGAAACATAATCTTGGTGAACAGATCCTTGAGAAGGCAGAAGGTGACACATCTACTGTGTGCTGTTGAGTAATCGAATGTGTAACTCTTCAGCACAAGCACAAAGACAGACTATCATATTTTTTAGCCTGTGGCTGTCAGACCTGACTGTACAACAATTTCACAACATTCACCAGAGCATGAAGATGGATATGCCCAGACATTTCTTCTGCTAATGTTCTCCAACTGATAAAAAGACCCAACCCTTCTCAAAACATCATATGAATTTTTACAGGTTTTTCACATTAAACACTCATCTTCAAACCAATAAATTTAAAACTGTTCCATTAAATCTAAACATTTTAACCAAGACCAAAGCAGAAATTATTTCAGTGTAAACAGACAGTAACCTGCAATAAAGGGGAGAAAATGAGAGTGAAGGAACTGTGTGGTAAAAATCTTTAAGCAACAGTACAATGATGAATCAACTTACCCAGTGAGCTTTTTCAGGAGGTGGTGCAATATATTCAATGACTTGGACGGCCTGTGGATGGAAAAGAGATACTGCCGAGTTACTGTGGTCGGAATCTAAATTTCAACACTGATTCAAATGACAAAAACAGAGGCAACGATGGCTACCACTGATGAAAAGACCTGGATTATTAATAACCTGATTGAACAGCAAAGTGACGACCTCTAAATCTTAGGTAATGCAATCATACAGGAGTGACTGGGTTAATCCTAATCATCTGCTAACAACACTCACTTGAACCCACAGGAGATGTTCTGTTTCCAGTCGTCTGGCAGCTTTCTCAGCAGAGCTACTTTTGATGTGTGTGCATTGATGTGAGCTACAGAGACAGAGGGAGAGTGAAAGATGCACGGAGAAAAGAACAAGGGCTAACAAGCGTGCACATCAAGAGCTTTACTTCATCATCAATCCCATTCCTAGTGCGTACAAAGCCAGCTTTGTTACAAGCTTGAGTGGGGGCTAAAAAATGCTTGTTGGTCCTGTCTCCTTTCCTGCCTCCCACTCCAGCTTGTAATGTCTGCTTACCACAACAGCACCTTCCTTCAATAATGGATTATTGTTGTGCCTCAGTTATAAATACACAAATAGGAGGAATGCCACATGATAAATCACATGATGAACTAGGAGCTACTAAAGGAAGGAAGGAAGCGTTTTATTAGCTCTACCTATTGCATAACACCATTAAGTGAGAGATATTGTATATCGTTTCATTGAGCTTGAATGTTTTCACGCTTTTCCCAGTGGCTATTCGTTTTCTTATACCACTGTTAGTAACCTAAGCCTGTTAAATGTTATAGCTGTGAAAGCCAATATAAAGAACCATTATACAAGCTGCTAAGTACTGTCAGTGTATACTATGTGTCAGCTATGCTAACAGACTTAAAAAGGGTATAATTTTAGAGGCTGCTGTTTACAAAGCTACCTCAACCATTATTATACTGGGTAGCTAATGACATCCACTTCAAGGCAACTCCTATATGAGTCAATAAAGCAATTCAGATAGCAGCGAAAAAAGGGTGGAGTCTTTATTTGAATATTGAGGTACAGCTACATGCAGAGAAAGTGAACAATGAATGATTTAAAGTCAGCATAACATTAAGCTGAGCTGCGCACACACCTTACTCTGTAAATCCCCATAATTAAGTGTGGCTGTAGTTATGGCAACAAAATAAACTTGATCTGTATACAGTCATAGCAGGAAGGTGACTCAGCTAAAGACCATCCCATTGGTTTTGTGGGAGGATGTTCTTTGTGGGCTGTACTGAACCTTCAACAGATTCAGTACAGCCACACAAAGTGTTATTTTAAGCCACATAAATGTTACTTTGCCTGTTTTCTTACAATGTATGTCAAAACTGAAAAAAGTGATACTCCATATTACACTAGAACTGAGAGTAATTTGGGAACATATGCGCCTTGATTTGAACTGTATTTAGAAAGAATAGTACTGCAAGCAATAGTAATCAAGGTTTTACCTATATATGAAACTGTGCTGGAGTGCAGCAATGTCTCTGTCCACAGCTGACAAGCTTCACTGCTGGTTATACTCTCAACACCGTAACTCAACTGATACTCCAGCTTGGGCAAGACATGCACTGGCACATACTATTCGGGCAAAAAAAAAAAAGAACAGAAACAGGGCTGTTACGTAATTTGATACTTCAGTCTATTAAATGAAACTATGAAATTCTGGACAAAGTACATAGACAAACCTGGTTTTGGCTGCTGCCTACATTTCTGGTATGAGTCAGTGAGACAGAGCTGCGCACCATGAGCAGCAAATCCTGCAGACTGTAGAGTTTGTAGAGCAGGTTGCCCTCTTCTGGGGCCTCATAATCTTGTTCATCTTCTGCACCTTCCTGCAGTTCTTGCGACAGTATTTCTGTGTGAATGGCATTAACACAGTGTATGTTAATTAAGCATTTAGACAACGTAAATCCATAAAATAAAATAAAAATTAATTTAACACTAACTTCGGTGCTCTGTAGTAATAAAACTGACTGCTGGTGCAGATTCATGAGGAGCAGCATAGGTCTCTCTATCCTGGTCCTGGTTCCTCTCCAAATATGAGGATACACAGGGCTTAACAAGGGAGGTTGGATGGGAGTGAAATGAGGGTCCTGCACATCGTGTGGGTGAGCTGGTCTCCACAGATTTGGTGGAGCATTTGGCTGCATCACTAGCAGAGTTAAACATCGCTGTCTGCATTCGCAGGATCTCTCCCAGTTGGTCACCAGGTACCTTTGATCTTCTGGACTGTCGCCTTGTAACTTTTTGAGGGGAAGATAACTTTGGATTTACCGGAACAGCATCTGAGGCAGGAGTAATAGGGGAGTTTGAAGAGCAGGTTTTAGGTTCAGGTTGTGCTGTAGGTGCTGCAGCTGGAGACATGGAGTCATCAATGACCAGCTTCTCATCATCATCATCATCAGAGTCTCCTGTAAAAACGAGATCTTCATCACTTTCCTGTGCAGAGTCCTGCCTCATCTGTTCAGTCTTTTGCACACTCTTTGGTTGAGTCGTCTCCTCTGTTAACATGGTGTCCATCTCTTCTAGAGGACTGCTGCTAGTGTTTACAAGATGCTCACTGGACTTTTTACTTTTACTTAAACATGAGGAATTTGAAGCTTTATCGCTTTTAGCTGATGAATCCTGTGCACTCTCTATTTTGTGCACCTTGGGCTTTTTAGTGGGTGTCACAACTCCAAACGTCTCCAGGTCAGTGAGATCTACCTCAAAATCAAGGCCGTTGTTTTCAAAAGACACTAAATTTCTTTGTGAGCTCTCCTAAGTTAGAAACAGAAAGCAAAGAATCATTTCTCTGACTTCAAACACACACACACACTCACACTACATATACAGTATGACCTCATCTATTTATCAATTTGTGCACCAACATACAGCAGAGAGCTGATTCTCATTTGCAGGAAGCTCCATCATTAAATGGAACACATTTTTTCTTCCATTCTTTTTAATGGAAAGCTTCAAACTCTCCCCATGGTAGATATGACTCCTCTCTCTTGGTGTCATTAGTGTCTTCAGAAGGGGCGAGTCTATGTACACAGTCTTCTTCTGACCACTACCTGTAAATAAGACATGAAATAAAAGGACTATGTGAAACAGTGCCACCATGAGATCATTCAATATCAATACACACTGATTTTTCTCATTTACAGTATATTCATTTCACAAACAAATTCTCATTTCTCAAGATCAAAATCACACATAATAGCTTTATATGGACTGTCAACACGAAACCTTTTTATACTAAGTGTAAAACCATTAACCTTTTGTCTTATATCTAAACATACAGAATAAACTTTGAAACATCTCATCACCAAGAATGTTTCCAAAGCATACTGTACATTGCTACTGAGCTAGCAAAAACTACACAGGTAAATTCTTTGTTGCTGCTCTGAAAATCCAAATGATCTCTTATTGAAAAGAAGTGTTTAAAAAAATATCCACAATACAAACAAGCACACAATAAAATTAAACTCTAAAAAACATGATATGGTTTTGTTTCTACAAACTTCACTACACACACTGCTCTTCCTATTTATCTTTGGTATTAATTGTTGAAAGTGGACAGCAACGCAAAGGACAGATGAAAAAAAGAGAGAGGGGAGACTGGGATCTATTGCTCTTCAGCCTTTTTATCCATTTGAAGGAGACCCCAAGTAGGCACCAATTAAACTAATGCCCACCATAGCAGGCCGAGTGGTTCTGTGATGATGCTGTACCTTTGCCTGGATTTGATTTGACCAAAACAGGCAGTTCCCATTGCTCCTTAAAGTCAGGGCCATGGTTGTCCAGCAGTCTAACCAGGGCATCTCGAGTTAGACACACATGAGGTTCATAATGGGAACACAGCTTCTCCGCATTACTATCACTGCTGACGGTCTGCAGAGAAAAACAAGACTAGGTCATCCTACCAAAACCTTGACTGTAACAAACATACAAGTAACACACAATGTACTACAATAAACTGCACTTTGACAGTACTGTTTGCGACCTTGCATCTTTCAGAAACATAACTTAACATAACATCTGTTTCGCTGGGCAAGACATGAACACCCTCTGGTGTCTTTTGTGAAAACTGCGAAAGATGAAATGGAGCTACAATAGACCCGCAGCCATGAATGCCATTAGCAGTAAAACATCTTTGTGACTTACTTTATTGGAATAATTTTCAAAAGTGAGACAATGGCTTACAGCATGCATGTCCTTAGCTTTTTTAGCTGGAGGATTCTCTGATGAAACACTCTGATAATCCGATGCAAGCTGTGCATCAGCAGGCACTATCTTGTGGTCTGTAATATCCACATTGCCCTGGAGAAATAAACGGTTCAAATATGTAAATGAAGGAAATGAATCAACACCAAAAGACTGATTCTGCAATACAATACTTAAAGGGTTGAACAGAAAGCTGGACAATGGCATTAAGAACTAGGACTGGAACAGCTCCTGTGTGGTAGAATTACATTACCATGATCAGCAGCTGTTTTTCAAAAGTCAGCATGAGCCCTGGGTTGAATGTCCCCCCTGTCAAACTAGTCATCTCATTGACTTGGTAAAGCTGAGGAAATGCCTTAATGCACTCCAAACAACACCTGAAGAAATCCTGAAAAACAAATGTGGGTTCTGTTGCTCAATACTTGTGAAAACACCTCACAGAGCTATTGACAGGTACAATCCTTGAAATATCAGTACCTCTGAATATTGCATAGCTCCCTGTGATATGAAGTTGTAGTCATCAGCACATATCCTAGCCACATCCTGCAGGTACCTGATGAACTGCATCACTTCATTATTTACCCGTGTCTTTAAGCTCTGAAATAATAGAGTACATTATTTGAGTAAAGCGATACAACAGGGATTGGTTGGATAAAAATACCACTGAAAAGTAAAAGCGGTACCTCTGGTGGACTCTTGTTTTTCTTACTCATCAAAAAGCCAAGATAAGTGTTCTGGTCTTTGCTAGACAGGCTGGACATACAGGGGAAGGGCAGTCTGGGCTCAGGGTAAGCAGCAACAACTTCATCCCCAAGCTGGTTGAACTTCTCTTTTGATTTTTTTCTATCCTTACAGTTCTTTACACCTTCTGCAGCACTGTCTTCATGTGGACCATCACTAGCACAGATTTCCCAAATAGATTCTTCCTTGCTAATACAACTGCTGTTATTCAACTCTGAAGCCTCTTCAGTGGAAGCAGAGCAGGATGCTTTTGGAGCCCCAACATCACATTTCAGTTGTGTGTTGGCACTCTCCTCAGAACTTGTGGAAAGAGAAAAATGGGGGTAAAGAAACAGGTCAGATAAAAAATTATTAGTTGGCCTTTACAAGCACAGTGAAGTGCATCTAAACTATTGGATTATTAATGTCAATTTCATGACATACCTTTGGAGAAACACCCACAGTTCTCTGATATTAGGCGCAAGTGAATACTTGTCGTAGAGATCTTGAGTGAAGAATGGCTCATCAGGAACTGGGGGGTTCTCCCTTAAATTAAATTAAAAGATGTTAAATGATATTAGAGGTTCTGTGTTGTACACAAACATTCATTACATAGCATTTTGCACTGGTACAGACTTACACCTCTTTTGATATGTAATAGAAAATAATTTAATAGGTGTTTCCCAAGCGTCAGTGTTTAGTGATATTGTTATACCAATAATATGACCAATAAAATCTAAGATTAAATGTATTTACACTAACAATCAGTGGTGAAAGATGTACTCAGATTGTTTACTTAAGTAGTAACACCACAGTGTAAATATATTGTACAAATTCTGCATTCAAAATGTTACTTAAAAGTAACAAAGTAGTAAAAGTACAAAGCATTAGCATCAAAAGTAAAAGTACTCATGATACAGCATGGCACATTTCAAATGAATCACGTATATGACATTTTAGGATTATAATTATTGATGAATTGTTGTGTTCTTAAGTTTAGTGTTGCGGTAGGTAAAGGGGGACCTGATTTTAATTACCTCATACAAAAAGCCCACTATTTGAAACACTTTGTAATGCCTAGCAGCTTCTGAATTACTCTGAAAAGTAACTAGTAAGTAAAGTTATCAAATAAACGAAGTGGAGTAAAGTATAATATATGCCTCTAGAAGTCAAGTATAAAGTAGAAGAAAATAAAAACACTCAAGCTGTGTTAGTTACAGCACGGATAACCTAGCTAACGCTACATTACAACTTTGCCTGCTTCAGTAACTACTATAAATGCATTTATTTAATTTCCATCTATGCCAACAGCAACTGTTAGCATTATTGTTGAACTAAAGAAGCTAATCTGACAGAGAATATTTAAGTGGCTTAGCTAAAACTACGTAGAGATTTTAAAATAACGCTAGCTAAATATTTCAAACCAGTTGAGTAAAACAGTTTTAAGCTAGCGTTAGCCTGTCTCTTTACAGTAGCTGTTCATAAATATAGTTAGCTGCTAGCCAAGATTGGCCTGGTGCAGCTATCTCATTTAAACTTCCCCAGTGTCGACAGAGACTCATGTTCTAATTTTAATGTTAACAGTAAACATTAACAAATAACAGCTACAAACGCCCACATATTGGTCGTCGCTGTCCGGTTAAGCGCACGAGTATTATGCAAGTAGCTAACCTAGCTAACGTTTGGTTAGGTTAGCCTTGGTAGCTTAGCTGTCAACACAACTATCAAACATAATAACCACCTTGTTAGCTAACAAACTTAGCTAGTCCAAATTTTGGTTAAATTAGTTAGTTGAATTACCACAAAATCCAACACTGCAACATTCAGCAAAACGTGCAGAAAATATTAGCTTACCATACTAGATCCATTATTGTCACTGTCTAGCAATCCACAGGAATAATAAAATTGAACCGCAGAACATATAACCAGCTAACAAATGTTTGACGGGCCACATCTTCGTCTGGTTTAAACATGTTGACACTAACGCTTTATGTACATTACTGCCCCCTTCTGGATATTAAGTGCGGTCCATCTGCCTACTTATTGTAGGCTACTGTATATTTTTTGAATATACATATTCTACAAGACCAAAAGAGAAAATATTTCTTTGCAGTTTTTCCTGCAGCTCATCTAAAATATCCCTTCCAAGCGAAGTTAATCACGTACTTCTGTGCTCCCACTAGCAGCACCAGATGATATATCCCACAATATATTAGTTTTGTATTTTTCAAATAATCAAAAATAAATCAAATGCATTTACTTTGATTAAGCTAAGCTGATTAAAAAGTACTGTATTCTTCTAACTCCTATAAACAAACAATTCATTTATTGCTATATGGCAGAAGTACACCCAGAAAATGTTCTTGTCTAAGGAACTTTAGTTGTCCATTTCTGCTATATTTCACTGTAACACAAAGTTCAACCCAATTAGGATCACAGTTTATGCTCTCTTCTTTAAAATTAGTAATTGAATAATCCCAAATACTGTACATCAATTGCACTTCCCCAGTTCTGTAAAGTCTGAGTAAATGTGAATATGTGATCCCAACTCCAGTGCAGATGTTTATAGCCAAACCCTTTTTCTACCCTTAATGATGATGTTTGTATCCACATATGATTGTGTATAACAACAGGGTACACCAGGCAGAGTAGTTCAGTCCAAAATTATTGTTATAAGAATATAATTCTGCAGAAACCTGCAATTTGTCTTGCTGAAAATGGAAAGATTGCTTTTTACTGTATAAAATGACAACATCTTTTCAACTTTGAGAAGATGAGATCAAACATTAATGTTCAAATTATGTGCAGGAAATAGCAGACACTTCCACTTCACTTTCCACTGAAAGCTTAGAAACTACACAACTGTTAGATAATCTGTTAGACAGAATTTGTCACATTTTCCATGAACTGATGAAAACATGCAGCTCCAGATTTTATGTTATTAGTTTATATAGTTCTTTCATAATTATTCAATTGAACAGAATTACTCATGGTCACATATTTAATTTTACATTTCAATGCCCTAAACTGTTAGACTGACTCATGTTCCCTTTTGAAGAAGATATTTTAAAGCTTTTCAGACACAGTTTGACTTTTGATTGATGAATCTTATAACAAGAACATTGCCTGAATTGAACATTTGATATATGTCATGACCACTAGAATTAAGTTTTTCCAGCTATGGCTAATTCCTTGAATATATTTACATTGTTTTAGATAAAATGTCCTAGACTAGTGTGTTTTCTTAATACTTTTATAAACCATTTTTAAATAGTTAAAAATTGTCATACATTTGTTCAGATTTTATGGTCAGATGAACATATTTAGATGCTTGTTTTAAAAAGATTATTATTCCATAATTTGTTCACAAAATGAAAGATTTCTAGCAGAGTGAGGTGACCTCTCATTATCACACAAATTAGGATCATTAGCCCTGATAAAATTATTGAGAATCAAAAATATTGTATTTAATCAATTTTATTAAAAGGAGTGCATGTGCGAGAGTGAAAGAGAGAGAGGGAGATGGCAGAGACAGTTAATCAATCAGGAAATAAAAACCCATTACAAGCGATAAATTTTATTATGGGATAACAGCACATAAAGCACATCTAAAATCGATGTGTCCAATGCACTTTTAATAAAGGTAATATTAAAGGTACAGTTTCTAAGTACAATATAACAACATTCATATTAGAATGAAAAGTATTTAAAAGACAACATTAAATTTCTTATTTTTCTTTACAGCTGTATTTACAAAATGAATCAAAATACTTATTTTCAGATTTAAGAATCAGACAACAAGGAGCAAAACTACATTTGTGAATAGACTACCAGCTAAAGAGAGTTCAAAAGAGCTGGATAAAAAGGTAAATGATCATTTGTCCCCATTTTAACATCAGTAGCAAATGTGTGACTTAGAAATTTGTGACAACCACACACTAGTTTCGGCTTGCCCATAATTTGTACTGCTTTTGCGTGGAAAAGAAATCCACCTTTGCTCTGCCCACCCTTCATGTTAGTTCACCCTAATCAACTGAGCACACAATGAACACAGACCATAAAAGAAATCCTATTGTGTTGAATGCCTCTTTTTCAGACACACATATACTTGATATACAATGCATTCGTAAATCTTCTGTTCTTAGTGGAATTAAAAAAAAAAAAAAACTAAGAGAACATGAAGAAATGTGGATTACCTATTACTTTTGCCAAACTGAGAAAAAATATGCAGATGAATTTTTCTGTAATATTATCTGCAAGAATTTATTTGATAATTCAAGATCAACACAGAACAAAGTTCCCAGTTTGTCAAACAAGGTGCGGGGTGACGTACTGTACAGTCTAAACAGGCTGCTTACACATCGAAACCCTTTAACATAGTGCATTAATCCACGTGAAAATGATCAACAACACATAAAGAATCTGAAACATCTGAAGTATGTGAGAGTGAGAATTCATCCTCATGTACAAAATACATTGTCACTTCAGTACATCTGGAAAACCACAAAAAAAAGACAATCAAAAGCATGTATGCATCTTGTTACACCGAGAGGCACTCAGTGTGATACGCTGTGTATTATTGCGAGCATATTCTTACTGATATTTGCTACAGAGTGAAGAGAAAAGGTCAATTTTGTCCTCAAATGGAAATCCTTCCATGTACATTTGTAACACGTTATACATTTATGCCACTGGTCTGAAGAAACCGCTGTTTCGGGATGGTCTAAAATGGGGAATAACAAAAGCATACTGAGGCTCTGTTAAATGAAATTCAAGCACCACATCCCTGCATCAGGTGAAGAACTATGCAGACACAAGAGAGGTAAATATTTAGTATCTTAAAACCTGACAAACTATAGCCTCAGTGAGTGGTTTTTACAATCAGAAAAACAACAAAACACAATACTGCTGTTTCAGTTTGAATATTATCATGTTTCCACAAATCAGAAAAACAACCTTAAATAGCTTGTTAATTAGCAGATACTAGGTTTGCTATAAGTCAGAAGGAAATAAGTGCCTTATCCCAAGACTAGCACACTGATACAGGTACTGGCTGGGTAATTTTACCACTATCATTTTAATTATCATTATTATTATTTATTGCATCCTAATATCAATAATACGTTAATATGCAATGAAATGAATGGACTAATAGGGTGGCCAGGCTTAGGAATCAGTACTTTTGTTCACAAAATTAACTTACCTAGCACCACACATCAGGGCAACACAAAATAAAGGTCAGCACACCCTATCTCTATCAAACTAATCCTAAAGGAGGGAAGCAAACTAGAAACAGAGTTATCGTACAATATGGTGTAATTGATAAACACATAAATATTTCCACTGGGTAGGCCTTAGTAGCAGTATTTTCCTCTTACCTATACAGACAGAAGTTACAAAGCTACCTTTATACATGTGATCAATAATAACATTAAATATGGTGAATAAACTGCAGAGAATGAGGGAGAGAGAACAAGTGAGAAAATAAGATATACAGGTACAGCATACAGGTCAAGTTCCTAGTTCTCCACCTGGGAACAGAACTGGTCAAATATACAGATGACACATCCACAAAATCAACAAGAAATAAAACCAAAAAACATGATAAATAAGAGGTGTATTTACATGCAGATGTTCAATGACTATTATGCACAAAAGAATCAAAAAAATAATACACAGACATATATTATTGCTTGACATTCGATTATGGCTAAAAGTTGCTTTTTCATTTTTTAAACTATATTCTTAAACATATTTTTAATCATAAATCCTTATAAGCTGTGCTTTGGAAAATGAGTTCTGTTAAAATGTGATGACTGACTCATAATTCTGGGTAACACGCCGATACTCCAGTACAACTTTAAGCGTGACATAACGCTGATCCTCACAATTTATGGTCAAGAAGACTCGTTTTCAGAATTTACAGTCCAGAATTCATTTCAGCTTAGGCTGCGGCTGTCCGAGGCCGATAGCGAAGGATGTTTTCCCTGCGAAACTGGTCAGAGTTACCTCACAGCATTCGGCAGACCCATGAATTGTTGAAGGCATTATGTCATGCTTTTGAAACTTACACCTATTATGGATGGATCAAGCTCAGCATTTCCAAAACCTTTTTGTAAAAAAAAAAGTCCAAAGCAAAGTCAAGACCTCCTCTTCCACATTGCCCTGTTCCTCTGTAATTATTAAAGCCTTGTCTGGGGTTTATCACATTCACACACTGTGAGACCAAACATATACATACACGCACACACACACACACGCACTATTGCTTTTTACAAACAGACAACAGAGCAGAGACAGAAGGACCAGCACATGTTACTGTATACTATACACTGATTGAATAGCACACTTAGCGTCGATCCCTTACTTAAACTGGGATATCTCAAGTGAAAATATACAGAAGGACATCACTTTACAGGCTTGTGTGAAGGTGCAGTTTATAGTTGGACACAAGTATTCATGTGTTTGATGGCCATTTTTTTGCTATTGTGCCAATATCGCAAACCACACCAGTACATAAGAGGATGAAAAACGAGTCATGGGGCTAAAATACTTTTTGTTCTGGACTGAGAGTGTAGACTGTATGAATAAAGTCAAATCAAAAAGATGACTGCACTGTGGAGACCCGTAATTGCAACACAAGGCATATTGCTTGTTTTATAATTGCTTGTTTTATATTGTCAAAAATATTTCAAGCCACTCAAATATTTAGACTAGAATAATAATAATAAAAAAAGAACACATTTTATTTATTTATGACAAAGAACCTTAACTGATCAAATTCAACAAAATACTAAGTTGTTTTATTTGGCCATTAAATAAGATTCAGCTTAAGATAACCGAAGGTTTTTAAGAAACAAAACAAGGTTTTTTTCCCAAAAAAAAAAAAACAGAAAATCAGCCAGATCTGTATCTCTTCATTATTTTCTGCTGTACTGCATCTTTAGTGTGCTATGCCAAAATATTCAGCCTCCTCTTATCCACTGAGTGCTATCATGCTATCAAGAGATTTTAAAGACCTCATATATTCACAAAAGAGCTAATCAAATGCTGTACAACTGTCCAGAGGAAAGCGAGTGGCTTTTTCGGTCTACCTGTTACCTCCCTGAGCGGTCACACCTCATCCTCTTTGCTGCTCTCGCCAGGCCACTGGGCCTCTCAACCTGGATTGTCTAGCAGTGTTCCAGACTGTTTCTTTTGCTGGGAGACTGAGGTTTGTTAGTCATAGAGGGCTTGTGCATATCCAAATAGCATTGGATCATAACAGAGATTATTACTTAGGTACAGCATTTCTACCACAACCCAAACACAACAGATTGAGTATTGCATACAAATATTTGGTTTTTTCTAACAAAGAGGGTGATCATTTTTAAAGACCCTGATGACACCATTTGAAACCAAAACTGATTGTTTGGGTGACAGGAATATGCTGTGTGCTGATAAAACTGTGGATTGTAAACGTGATGGGGTTTGCTATTTTTACAAATGACATGGTTTTTTGTTGTTGCTGTTACTATAGAGTGCAGTGGGCTTTGAGTGGCTGAAGACCCCTTAAGGTATCAGTATTGTAAAATTCCGAACAACTCAGTGATGAATATTCAAATGTTAATCTCTACCATTTCTCATGGAACATCCCTGAACATAATCATAAACTAAAAGCGATGAGTACAAACAAATGTCCTCCTAAACAAAAAACGCAAAAGAAATTCTTCCCTGAGGGGTGACAGCACAAAGCATTAACGCCTTGTGCAAATTGCACGGCAGAGGAATGATAGTGTGCAAACAGAAAACAAAAGACAAACAACTGGATGCTATGTTATGGTTGGTGACAGATGTGTTAACATGCTTTGTTGGATTTCTAAAGGGATATGATGTTTTCTTTTCCTTTCTTTCTCTTTTTTTGCTCTATTTTAAAGATATTTCTAGAAATTGCTACTGAGATTGCTGGAATGTCTTAGGAATCCATTCTACATTACAGGTGAGTAGACTGGAAAGCGGAAGCAACGACTACCGTTTGGCACATCCAGGGTTTTTTCTACCACTTTACTACCACACTGACAAGAAAGACACATTCAACAAAACAGAAGCACAACGACATAGCATTCTGAAAATAGCACTTGTCCTACCATTTTTTTGTTTTGTTTTGTTTTCTCCCCTAATCACACAAACAACAGCTAGTCTAATTATTGCGGGAATACAGTTAAGTGCTACCTGACATCTTTTTCTCTCCCTCATTCTCTTTCATGAGTTTAATAATCAAACATGTTACAAAAATAGAAGCTTTACTACCAGACAAGGCTTTGACTATTCACTTTCCATTCATTGTTTTTATTGTGTCCTGCTGTGGCACTACCGGGCTGAGACTGTGGCGAGAAGGCAGTTGCACAGAGACAACTAAAAACAATTTGAGAGAGGCTCATACATGTGCTTTTAGCTGAGCTCTTGTATCATGGTCAGTAGGCTGTCATGTTGCTTGCTGTATCTTTACCTTCCACTAGGTGGAACAATCGGATTACAGTCAATATGTGATGTTTCCAGTTCAACCAGAGGCTATTCAATGTTGTTTTCTTGTGGCTTTTTCGACAAAATACATGAGGTTTTTCACAGTAAAAATAGCAAATATTTAGGAACTAATATTAAAAAATATTAAAGTAAGTGTACTTCAGATATTTCAACCTACATCTCTGTTCTGTTGTATTTTAAAAAGGTTCAAACAAGTGTTAAGCATTCCAGGTATTATCAATACAAGGGTTGTTGGTTGTTTTTGTATGTGTGCAAACTCGCTAAAATATTTTTGACAGGTGTCACGCAGGCAGCGTCTCTAACCTGCCTTCTCAACCATGCCTCTTTGTTCGCCGACAAGCAGCCACGCCAGCCATCCTAACAGACAGCCCTTACACTTCCTGACTTCCAGTATCATCTGCAGCTCCCAGGACTAGCCTCTGAGACCATGGTTCAACTTGAATTTCTTGTGCACATGCAACACATCACTAGGTAAATATACAAGTCTTAAATTAAAGAACGGTGTAAATAAAAGTGCCTTATCAATTCAACAATTAAGAATGGTCTAACTACTAATATCATACATGTTATTTAAAATAGATTCTATAAACATTACTTTTTTCTGTATAGTAAGTACTTATGACCATATACCCTGTAGTACATTATAAAACAGGTGGAATGGACCCTTTTCATTGTGTTGGTGCTCTGTGCTTCTCCAGGGCACCTATCCAGAGAAGGATTAATAAGAGGTGGCCTTACATGATTTCACTATGCAACAATGGTGGATGGATGGAGTCTTTGACAGCTAAAATCATCATGTTTTCATTAGAATTACCAGAATTCTAAGGTTCTTTTTTTCTCTTTCTTTTAAACGATTGTCCGGAGAGAGGTGTCGATTGCATCAGTATGCCGATGGACCCTCCCTCTGAGTCGGTGTGAGTTTTCATTCGAACCACTGTGCTCGAAAGACCGAACACAAGAGAAAAATGGCAGAACTTGACCAAAGTGTGCGCATTTTTCAGCTGTTTATTTCAGCTTGAGGATTAAGTGTATGAAAGGAATAGGGATAGCACAATTTAAAATTTTGAAAATGAAAATAATGAACTGTTTTTTGAAAAATAATACTGATGTGGATTTTAGCTTCTAATTGAATTGAAGTCCTCGGATATTTCAACAACAAAAAGCTCATTAATTGTTTATATGAGCCAGATGTACAAATAAATGATATTAATAGTGATGCAATACATACTGGTGAAAATTACTGAACAGGCAAAATGAGTTTTTTGAGCTCCATGTAAGAAATGTGCACAAAAAGGTCAAATTCAACCAGACAGAAATTATTCATCGCTATCGCTTCTTCATGTCCCATGGGGAGTCAGGTCCCACAAGTCTTCCAAATGAAACAAAATTCAATAAAGTAAACCTTGAGAATCAACTCTCTAAGCCCTCCCCTCCATTGTAAAAGAAGAAGTTGAACATTGTGCCACCTGTCCACTCTGGTTTGTGCAGGGCACCAATAAAGTGTCTCAGAATCCTCCTCCACATTCCCCTACGGTGGGCACACTGGCACCTGGCTGGGCTGCTACCCGTCAATGGGCATGGACTGCTCAAAGTCTGATCCGAACAGCTCCTTGTATAAGGGGGGGAAGTGGGCACGTACAATGTCTGGGTATATTGCTTTGAAAGCTGTAAGCTTCTCTGTATGCCTACTGCACAGCGCTCGCAGTGTTGACACTTTGCATATCAACTGTGGAGAGAGAGGAGACAGGCTGTTTAGATTCACAGGGAGGCAAGGACATGGAGCAATGGTAGTGAAAAACATTCTTCCCTACAGTGTATTCCCTCTCACACAGGGGCAAACAGACTTGTAAATATTGAGACAAGTGCTCAGGCACTAGAAAAAAACTTGACTTCATATTATGGAGCTGATACAATTGTTAAATTGCTATTTCTCTACTGATAAAAAGGTATTTCATGTAATATTATGAATGCTTCCCCTGAAATCTGTTAGTTTAATCTTTTGCACTAAAAATGGTTGGTAGCCTGTGGATAAAGATCCTAAGCAGTGTGAGATTACACTGCTACGAGGGCAGAGCATGCTTAGGAAACAGCCTCTTTCTGGAATAATAGATGGTGTGTGCACTGCACTGCACTGTACCTTTGTAAGTATACCATCCTCTCTGTGGTTCTTCTGCAGGACGTGCTGAAGGGCCAGTTGGATCTTCTGCTGAAGTTTCTCCACCTTCACCTTCTCCTGGAGCCAGGACCGGTCTGCAAGATAAATTATCATAACTTTTTGTTACTACACAATCACATGTAGGCCACTTAACAGCCAACTTGACTGATGTGAAAGAAAATGATTAGGTGCCACTATTAATTGATAGAGGAAAAACAGGAGGGCAACAACGTTCCTTGTTGTGGTGAATGTGTGTCTACCTTTGTTGTTTTTTCTTTGCACTGTGAGTGACACCTACCAGCAGACATCAACACAAAGGCAGAGAACAGGGCGATCTCATCCTCAGACAGGTGCATAGAACACAAGTTTTTTCCAAACTCGAAGACGGAGCTGATCAAGTCGTCACAGCCTGCCACAGCAAAGGACACAGAGACAGGGCTTCAGATGAGCAAGACCAAAGAACAGCATTCAGTCTTGATCTTTATTGGGAGAGAGGCACACAGGGAGGGGAGAGGAAGGAGAAGGAACCAAAAAAAAAAAAGACGACGGCATGCTGACAGCACATGGGTGCGTCGTAAGCAGAACAGGCAATGCTTTTACTGAGTTTTGCCTCCCAGACGAGTCAATTTTGGCAGATAGGTGGTGCAAGCCAAAATGAGGTCACTATTGAGACTTTTAGTTAAGTCAATTATCGGGGATAGAGAGCGAGACAGGAGGATGCCACCGTGGCTCTGGAAGCCCACCACTCTGCCTCCCCCGCTGCGGACCCCTCTACAGGACATACAGGACGCTGAGACAAATACAAATTCTCACTCATATATACACAAAGAGATAGTTACAGGGATTGGTAAACTCATACTAAAAACAGAATTGAGCATTTTTACTGCTGCTATGGGACACATTTACTTTTTTGTCAAAACATGGGAAATGCAAGAAAATCCATGGTGGAGACTCCTACTAATGTCATGGCAGTCAAACACGAATGTTATTTGCTTTTGCCTGAGATGTTTTATGTCAGACTGTCAATGATGGTTCTGATAGCTCTCTCCCTAAGGACATCCCATCTGGTTTTATTTATTCCAGTTACATGAGCCATATGCAGCAGAGGCTCACGAACGTCTCTGTTCTACCATAAATAACCATTGCAGAGACAGCAATGCCAGGTGAGGCAGGGATGAGTGCTCAGTGTTTGCTTCCAGCATCGTGCAGAACAGAACAGCAGACTCTAATTTTGGCTATTACACCAAAAAAAAAAAAGGAGTAAGACACAGTAAAAAAAAAAATACACACACAGCAGCATCACACAAACACACACATATGCTCACAAAAATACACCCTCTCCACTTACCTAATGACTTGAACACATCAGGTCCGGCATATTTTCCATCAAAATAGACTGTGTTGTTTTGTGAGTCAAAGGCACGGCACATTCTGACAAACACAACTTCCAAAGAGCCTGTGAAGACAGACAGGAACAAGATGCTGAATCTGAGCTTTGCTTCTTTTTTCCCTAACAGCTACACATCAGCGACGGATGCAAAACACATGGTTGTGCTTTGTGCTATTCTTCTACAATATGAGTAACAAAGCCACTTTGAAATAAAGAAGCCCGGCATGAAAGAAGGAGAAAAAAAATCACCTCTGCAGATGATGATATCATAGACACATGGCTATTCTTCCATAATGACATGCCAGCTAAAAATTGTACTTCATTCAGTAGTGGTAGTGCTTATTCATTTAACTTTTATTTAACAAGACAGGCAGGGAATTTATTCTGTCATGGAATTTCTACCAGTCTGTGGGGGTGAATAAGAGGATCAAGAAACTGCAACAGAAGCCATTACTTCCTGTGAGCAAGATGCTACTGTTTTAAAATGCCATGTCTGACAAGGGGTCTCAGGCTTTATTCCATTATTCATATTGACTGTCCTAATGTAAATAATACCCAGGATAAGACCCAGGAGGGATGTTTGTTGCATGTGCACTATGTGTGTTTAAGCATCTGTGATTATGCATAAGTATATCTGACAGTGTGCACAGAGCCATAGATCTGTTTCTGTAAGTTTGTCTTCATGAGAGCAGTTTGAATAGGCAGGGATCATCAGTGTCTGGGTAAAGAGAGGGAAATGGCAGCCATCATCAACCATGGGCCGGGCCGACGCAGCCAGCCGAGCACCCACCAGAGACGCAGAGCTCCAGAGCCAGGTGAACCCACAGAAAGGCACAAGGAGAGAGAGAGAGAGACAGAGAGAGAGAGAGAGACAGGAAACAGGCAGGATGGGGTCTCCTCTCTGTGACAGTGTGTGTGTTGTGTGTGTGAAGAAGAGGGCTTTGTGCAGTCAGGTCAGCTACACTCTTGTGACAAATCCAAAGGGGGGTGGTGGGGGTGGTGAGTGAGTTTGACGGCAGCAGGCCATGTTGGCAGGCTGTCATACCTGCTTTCAGCAGCACTATCTGATCGTTCTGACACAGCTCCATGAAGCCATCGATGCGCTTGGCGAACTCCACCACATACTGAATGGCCTCTGTTATTTTGATAGCACACAGCTGCCACATGACTTCCCGGGGCTAATAACAGAAAGGACAGAGAATGGGTTATCTGCTTTAAAACTATGTATTTGATTACTGTAACGGCTGTGGAGGCCAGCACAGGCCTGGTGGTCGTCGATACCTTGCTCTGGTAGGTCTCCACCTCTTCCTGCAGGAAGGCCTGCCAGGTCATCTGCTGCAGCTCCTCCCTCAGGTACTGACATGTCTCCATGTGCGACTTGGAGATGTTTTGGGCCAAGTGCTCTGAAATGCAACCACCATCACAAACCCAGAAGATCACAGTCGAGATCTGAATGTTACTCACAGGACTATGTGAAAGTGAAGACCTCACTGATGAAATATGCCACAGGGAAAGAAGGCTTATTTACTGAGCTTTCAAGAAGGAGGAGAGGCAGATACACGTGGGCTTTTTTGACTGGGAAAAGGCTTGTTGACATTTCCTTTTACTGCCTGTAGGAAGCTCATAGCTTAAGGCTGAAGCAAAGTCAATCTAGTTATGACACAGCTGCATGAAGAGGAGGAGGGGCACCATGTTAGTCACTGAAACAAAGGTCACATTTTCTCAGAGAGAAATACAGACTATAAGAATTTAAATGGTTTTGAAAACACATCTGTTAAAAGAAGTTCCTAGGCACAGGGGAGCCTAAAAAAATGATTTCCCCAGACGCCTGCCCTGCTGGATCCTGATTGGCCCTAATTAATGGAAACTAATTACAAAAAAGAGGCTCTTTTAATGAGTGTTGAAGATGAGTCTCCAACCTCCTGCTATTTTAAGGAACCTTTGTGTCATTTGCCCCATGGTTGACTTGTTCTCTCCCCCCTCTTCCATTTCGCTGTCTCTCCTCAAGCCCCCCCACCCCCAGCTCCTTACCTAGTTCAGCCATGGACACAGTGGGGGAGGTTTCTCCGTTGGTGAAAGAGCAGTAAGGGAAGAAGCCAGAGCCGGGGGCAAAGTCGCAGATGGGCTCTGGCTTGATGCCGTTGATGTCCAGGCCTGACTGATCAGGAGATGGCTGGATGTCCAGGTAGAAGCTGCTGACCGCCGAGTCTGGTTTGGTGCCATCAGGGGTGTGACCATCCATGTAGCCGCTGAGGTCGTCATGGAGCTCTGTGAGGCCATTGGCTGACAGGCCGTAGCTAGGTGTGAGTGGCTCTGCCTCTCCAGGCTGCTGTTGGTGGTCGCGCTGCTGCTGCTGCAGCCGGTGCTTCTGGACCTCAGCGTACAGGCTGTCTCGCTGCTTCTTCGACATACGGCCAAACTTCACCGCTGTGATTAGCAGGACAGAATGTGTGAGACTATAGTGAAGCACCATAAACAATCAAACTTAACAGACGTTGCTGTATGTTGTCTGTCCATGTGTGGAATCCAGGGGCTTCTCTTCATAAATCATTTTATTTAAATTTGTATTCAAAATAAAATGACAGAGGTAGTTAAAAAGTGGATGTACAGCAGATAATATAAAATTACACACTCATCTCATGCAGCCTCCAAATTGAGTCATTTTGTCTCTTCTATTGTGAGTCTAAACATATATTCTCCAGTATGTAAAATAATCTCACCAGTGGGATTACAGGATGTGTGTATAGATTATTTCATCTGTTTCTAGTATAAAAAGACTTATTTCAATGTAGTAAATTACAGTAGCAGTCTCATTTACTTGTTTCAAGATGCTGACACACATTTTTGGAAAATGCCTGAAATTGTGGAGTCTCTGAGAAGGATCTCATCCCATTTACTAAATTCTTATTCCTTTGAAGAAATCATAAATCTTGGCACCTGAGTCTGAAACAAAAATAGTTATTTAGACAAAGGAAAGGGACTGAACTGGGGATTTTGAGGGATATTAAATCCCTACTGGCTACAAACTGTCTAACACATTTAACTGTCAATATATTCCCTCCTATGACAGTAACACTCCACTAATCTATGTTGAGGTTGTATGTTAATAACAAACTAAAAGATGTCTGCTATTAGCATCATACTCTGCTAGTCTGATGTACAATATTTACCAGATAACATATGATAAAAAAATCCACATTTCAGAAGGGATCAGTAATGACAGAGATTATTACAAAAGTGAGCAGCTTCATAAATCTAGATGCAGCAGTGGGAACAGCTTACCAGTCACTGACACTTACAATAAGACAGACCTAAGTTGCTGCCTCATGTTTCAAGGTTTCCAGACTTGGCTGGACTTCTAGGGACCTGGCACTATGTCAGCTGGTCACAGTGAGTTTGTATGTGTATGTGCATGTGTTTGTCTATGCACAGTGGAAAGCGAGTGGCGAGATGCAGAGGCGAGAGTGGGCAGATGGGCTCTGGTGTGTTGAGTGAAGGCAAGAGTCACCTTCGTCTGTCCTGTGTGTGAGTGTGTGTGTGTGTGTGCATGCATGTGCGGATGAGTGTGGCTATGCAAAGGCCCTCATAAGTGCTAATGTACTTCTGTGCTCATTCACATTCATGAATATATACTTATGGGTGTTACTGAATTAAAGTAAAGTAAAGATGTGCCAGTCTCTGTGCATGTATGTTCAGGTTTCCACTTGTCTGTGTGTATTCCTGTGCATGCTTTATGAAAAAAATAAAAATAAAAAAAATAAAAATCTGGCCCAGTCTGGACCAGCTCAGTCTGGTCTGGAGTCCTCCAGCGCTCATCCCCACCTGTGTGCTCCCCTCACTGTATCTCAGCTGCAGCAGCACGAATAACATCCTCTAGAACCTCCTATTTCATCAACCCTTGTTGAGAAATTAGGTTGCAGACAAAGCATTCACCTCCAGACAGAACAGTGTCTTAACCCGTGTTCAAGTTTTTTTTAGATCTGATGTGTCTCTGAGAAAAATGAGAGTATTATTCTGTGTTTAAGTTTTCTTTGTGTCTCCATCGGGATATCAATGTACAATTACTGGCTAATGACAACCAGCTATGAGTTAAGCTGCTGCAATAGATTTATGGTGTTGTTTTTTTTTTTTAGACTCTTTCAGGCAATATACCTCAGGCTAGTAAAGATTTTTGTAAAGAGCAAAATTTTTGTCCCCACATCAATAAAAAAGTTGTTTCCTCATGTAGAACAATACTGAATACTGTTGTTTACAGCCAACGGTGTCCTCTTGTGATAAGCAGTCTTGCCCACACAAGGGCTTGATCCTCTCCCCTCCTCCCAGCTTTCCATGCCATCCTGGTACATCTGCTCACCTCTTCCATAAAGCACTTACCATCTCGTGACATGCCCACTGCCAGGCATTTCTGCAGCCGGCAGTGCTGGCAGCGGTTGCGGCTGGTGCGGTCAATCAGGCAGTTCTTCTGACGTGGACAGGAATAGGCCGCATTGCTCTGCTGACTCCTCCTGAAGAAACCCTGCACAGAAAAGGGGCGTGGAAACACCATGGATGAAACACAGTGAATGTTCTGAGACTAGGGGATCAGTCCATGTCTTCATAGTGTTTTTGTGAAGACAAAATGCTTTTCTGATTGTTCTTGATTTTTTTGTGTTCATAATGGTGATATTTTATTTTACTGCTGTCAAACTGATTGGGTAATAATACTACTGTGGTGGTATTTTCCTGGCTGTAACCTCTGGCATTTAAAGACTGCTGTATTTCAACAGTATGCACAGAAAGAGGGTGGTGTGTTTTGGGAGGAATGATAACAGTGGCTGTTATTTTCCTTCAGTGGGGTTATTAGTGTTGATTAACGCAGCAGTGGCATGTGCAGTGCTAAAGGATTGTGAATGCACACCGACTGGATTCCTTATCCTCGGACTTAATGAATTGATTCCAGCACATCATTAACATGCCCCACTCTACTGCTCCATACACATATGTCTTAATTTGCTGCTCATTGGCTGTTTAATTACAAGAAAACAGCTGACAGCTGCCAAGTTGCTTTATAATGGAAGCCATTATGGAAACAGGCTATAACTGCCAGTGACAAGCAGCACTCTTTAATAATGCTATGATTTATGGTCCAAAGTTTTGTACTCGCACATATCATTAAAGGCCTCTCTGCCTGGACTAATTAGCAATCATTAAAGATAGATTTCAGCAGTTTATTCTTTAGTGTTTTGTTCCTTCCAGCTCCTGTGTGAGAGAGAGGAGTTCTGGGAAGAATAGCTGAAAGGAACCTCTCTCTCTCTCTCTCTCTCTCTCTCTCTCTGGCTTCCTCTCCTTTACACACACATACACACACACACACACACACAAGAGCAAACAGCAAAGGTGCAGGCTGGCTGAGGAATGCTAATGATGTGCCTGGTGACAAGCACGGGGACAAGAATACACTCTAAGCACAAAATTCCCCTCACTGTGAATGGCTGGTGCATTTGAAACAGTACAAAAGGCGGCTTCAATGGAACCAACACACTGTAGCAAACAGCCAACAATCTGCTATAATTCAAAGCACTCTCTTTTGATCATTTTATTTCAAGAGCAGGCTGCAGCAGAAGCAAAAAAAATAAATAAAAAAAGTTAAAAAACATGTCCCTGGGAGGAAAAGGCAGAGTAAGGCAGATGAATGACTTTGTCCTACTAATTGTGGTTTTCTGTGATGCCCGAGTGTTGTGCTTGACCACTTTATGATCATGCTCTCTGTGTTTACACTTTACAGTCCCCTCTCCAAATCTTCATAAAACCTCAGCAACATTTTCTAACATTTTTCCAAGCAAGGAACTTTCTTTACTACCTCGGTACTTCCTGCCTTCCCCCTCGCCGCTCTCCTGTCCTTCACACATACACACACATGCACACACACTACTCCCCGTGACACAAACAGGTTCAGGCTCTTGATGCTTACCTTACAGCCCTCACATGTTATCACGCCGTAATGGATGCCTGATGATTTGTCTCCACAGATCTTGCAGGGAATTATTTCGATTTGAGCTGCAGTGAAGAAAAGAAAAAAAGAATCACATTTTGCTGTCACAAGCCACTGTACAACTCCCTCACTATGGATCCATGTTGGTACATGAAAGGGCACTGTGCTTCTAAAAACATCTCATCCTCACTTCCACAGAGCATTAGCTGAATATTTACAAAGTTGTGTATGTGTGTACTGTATGTGTGTGTGTGTGAAGTGAAGGAGGCCATTTTAAGTCCTTACAGGCAGCCAATGTAAACATGGTGTCAATCTGCATCCTAAGCACAGTTTATATAAGGAAAAGCCCAGCAACCCACAAACCCTAATATGCCACGGCGGTAATGATACTAGCCTTGTGCAATGACAAAGGCTCATTTAGCCACATGACGAGATGCATTCCCGGTTGGAAAACCTGACTTCATGCAGCCTCTTAAACTTTAAAACCATAAAAAAAAAATTAAAGTAAATCCACTGTGACCACAAAGAATCGTAATGTGCCCACAGTGCTGGATGGAGTGGTGGAGCGTTCACTGTGAAGTTGTGCTACTGACAAGCCTGTGATTCAGCCGCCACAGAGGACAAAAGCACCGAGAGGACAGACCTCATCCGTCTTTGGCCTTCTCTTCAGGATCAGACCACAGGGCAACACAACAGAACAGACAGACACACACACAGACATCAGAGGCACAAAACTCCCAGCTTGTCCCACTGCTCTAAGCTTTATCACTTCAGCCACTGATGCTATATCCCGCTCCACCTCCACCTCCCCGTCTGTCTCCCTCCCTTCATTCTTTCTCCCTTCAGAGATCTTTATCTCACAGCCCTCCTCCACATGTCCAACATCTCAGTCCCACCATGCCAAGAGTGCACTGCAGCGGCAGACGAACTCTGCTATCTGATCTAAATCGCAAAAAGATTGCTGTAGGATATTTCCTCACAATGTAATGATTTTCATCAACCAGCCATGCAGCCAACCAATCAGAGCACAAGGAGCTATTGCAACACAACTCTGTACCACTTAGGGTCTATACCAGTTGCATTGCCTTAATAAAATATTAGTATCTTATTAAGGAAATGCAATAAAAATCATTTAAAAAGTGATGGTACATATGTCAAAGTGTTACATCAGCCTCTCCCCTCTAGCCAGGAATAACTGTCTACTAAAAAGCCTCATGTCTCTTCCCAAGACTCTTCAAATATCCCTCACATACCTTAACAACAAACCTCTTTAAACTATTTGATCACATCAAAAGTACTTTTATTGGGGTTCAATCCAGAGATCCCTGCCCATTTTAATCAGCTGCCTAGGAGCCTGTAATATGTCATGTGGATAATGTCCTTGTCCCTGAGGCATGCCCGGGAGAAGCCCTTAACACAGAGCCGCTAATCCACTAACCCCGGAGCCACACTCTATTCATTCAGGAATCAGTGTCTGTTCTCCTCGCGCTGCTGGAGTCAACAAGACCATCCATGTTTACATGGAATTAGCCTACATTTTAGTAAAAAGAACAAAAGGGGATGGTGGAACATGCACGATTAATTCTACTCCAGACAACACCTCTTGCGATTTGTGATTCACACATACAACAGAGGGCACTGCACCTCGTCGGCCTGGATTAGAGTGAAATCCAGGCAGGAGGTGGTCTTTGACAACTTAACTGAGAGGGTTAATTTCTAATTAATCTTTTCCTTACTGCGCACAGTTGCTCGTTATGTCAGTTAGGTCTATCTCTGTATGAGTGCAATCTATTGTTTGTTTTTATGTTCTCCCTGCATGAGCATTAGCAATGCAGTGTGTTCCGGCTCCTTTAGTATTTTCAACCTCATTACTTACATAATTTGTTCTGACATGCACTCACAACAACTGAAGCGTGCTGTAATTATGACTAGCTGTGGTTATGGTGAACTCGAGGCTGTAGTGAAAGGCCCCAGCCATTGGGTGGCAGTGCAGGGCTGTGGCTATGGCTGTCTTGCCAAGTTAAGCCAATCTTCCACCCACCCTATCCAGCCCACAGGCTTTTGGCTCTGAGCACCAGCCTCTGATAGCTCCAAGCTTAGGCTGCTGCTAGCTTTCCCCACCCCCACAGCATAGCTGTGAGATGCCTTCATCTCTCCTGAAGAAGCAGAGCTGGCTGGGAGCTCGCTCAAACCTGACAGAGGCTGTGCCACATCAGGTGAAAGCAGTGGGTGAAGAGACATGGGGGTGCCAGACCAGGCAGGGCATACACACACAATCATGCCTCACAAAGCCCTATCTGCAGGAGGAAAGGCCCTGAGTGCACATAGCCTCACCAGCTAACACCCTCTCACTCCACCGCTGCACAAGCCATTGGATGCTTAGTGCACTCAACGGTGAAAAGAGTTTGTCTCTGGACCGGCTGAGGCAGCCTGTATGAGAAAAGACCTCAGTCTGAACATATAGTTATTTCCACACTGGGATAAGCTGCCTTCAAAAAGAGGGGGTCTAGCAGAATAAATACCGAGCAATGACACAACAGACATCAAATACACCGTAAAGTCACCTACACCATCAGCCCAAGTCAATATTTGTATATCTGTATAGCTGCAAGTTGTCCTCTTGAGTCGCTGGTCAAATGGTCTTTAAGCTACACTTTAGACACTGAGGATAATTTAAAGTGAATTCACACAGGGGAGTCAGTCAAACAAAAGGCTTGCTCTTAAGCACCCCCAGTCAATATCTATTGACATGAGCTGCAGTGTTAACTGTCTCTCGGTGTGAAACAGGCAGCTGCTGGCTCGCTTGAGCTTGACCAGCGCAGTGCCACTGACCCCATTCACTGTGCCCGCCTGCCTTCCTCCCTGCCAGCCAGCCCTGCTTGCTCTGTTTACGACATCAAAGCCAGGCACAGTTAGATGGGCAGCCATGCTAAAGCCCATCCCAGCAGCCTGCTGCTCCTTACAGCACTCTGAGATGGCCTCTGCATGCAGACACCTGCTGAGACGTCAAGATTATGTATGAATCACACCTCAGCACAGTCACACCACATGCATTACCATAAGGGACAAACAGTGGCTCAAGACTGATTTCCTCTGTGCAGCATGGCAGCCTGGTGTGGGTGTCGTGGACAATGGGCATGGCAGGGAGAGGAGACAGTCAAGCCGAATGTTAAGGCTTGTTCTTTGTCTGTCTGCGGCTGAGCAGTTCAAGGACACTGATTCACCACTTGTAGGCACTTTGAGGGGGATGATGTGTCGCCCAGAGCACATGTACAATTGGGCAGCAAGGGCTCTGCATGTTCACCCAGTGCCCTTCACTGTTTTCTCCACAGCACTGAGATTAACCCACTGCTACAATTACTCTAAATTACTAAAGACCTTGAATCTGACAGTCAAATGTGAACACCCATAAGAAGTTGCCAAATGAACACTTATAACTTACAAGAGCCTTGTCATAGTTTATTTTTAATAAGCAATAATAGACGCTGTCAGACAGAATGCCTTCTGCTACAAATCTAGTATTGCTTCATTCATATATATATAAAAAGAATTATTCACAAAACTTCATAATATACAGTATTGAACCTGAGGAGTATAGTGAAAAATTGATGAAATATTTAGAAATAGTTCCAGAAGAAAAAAAAAACAACAGTATGCAATGAAGAGAACATATTTCTATTGTTGCCAGATGTAATTTTTTATGTTGCTGACATTTTCAATATAGCTCCATAAACACACATAAAACAAATAAGACAGACAGTCCCACAGGCTGGCTCACACACGTAAATCCACTAGTTAAGATCTCCTGGCTGTTCCCACTGAACCACTGACAACGTTGGAGGATTACCATCCCTTACATTAGAGACCCATGTCCAGGCTGCCGTCATAATGCTGAGAGCTTAATCCATTACTTGATTGGAGCATTAAATCATTTTCTCATGGTCTGATGATTCAAGATAGATGTATACAACAAATGAGGTTTGAAACTGAGGCTTCTGCGCTGTTCTGCATATGCAGAGCCAATTTTGGTATTGGCTCATTTGCAATGCACATCTTTCAGAAAAGAAGCATGTGAAGCAGTTGGAGGAAAAACACATTTGCTTCTTGTGTATGGTGGTGTGTCAGTGACAGTGAGTGTGTATATATGTGTGTGTCAGTTGTGTTGTCAGTGACACAGGCATGCAACCCAGCGGGCTCATGTCAGTGATGATGTAAGGAACTGGACAGGGCGCAGCATTATGAGCGAAATAACAATTTGTCTGCCATCAGACAAACGGTGCTAATACATTTATATTATCTTGCAACAAAACCAAACAAAAACTTAAAAGATCACATGCCTGCTCCCAGGACTATTATACAAAGGCAGATTCCCTTAAAAATGCTTTCATTTACACATGATCAATACACGTGCACCAGGGACACTGAATGTGAACTAAGCGACGTTTCTCCACCATTGTATGCAGCTACTTATTTGGCCACATAAACTTCTCATTTGGTGAAGGAGATCAGCTGTCGGTTGATAACCATTCTCCTCTAAACAGATACCCATGGCAGTCAGATGTAGCTGTAGCGATATGACAGCCTAACAAGAGCTGAAATCAGAATGCTGCCTCTTTTCATCTGCCACAGATTTGCTGCCATGTGAAGTCGCACAACACAATACTTTTTTTTATTTGCGTTTATGCAGCAGAAAAAAGGTTATTTGAATGTCAGCAGCAAAGGACAGTTGTGGCACAGAACACAGGCTGAATAGTATAAATGTGTTATTTGTTTAGGGATCGGAAACCGTTGGCATATCACCGCACAGCTGTTCCGATGGCATTTGCTGGGTTGTAGCACAAAGAAAGCACAGAGCGATGTGCAGAAATTCACCTGCAGACCAAAACTCTATATCATCACTTTAAACAGCTTCCATTCAACCTATAAACATGCTGAAGTCATCAAAAATATTCTGACTAAAGGGTGTAGGACACATTTTGATATTTCAATGCGGCGTCTTGCTAACTCCCTTCCAATCATTTAGCTGCCGAAGCTGTGATCTCCCTTCACTAGAGACCAGCTATAT